GTAATACGCGTTCAAAGTTGAAAAATTGAAATTAGAACGTTCAAAAAAGCAGTGTTTTTACATTTCATTGATTTACTCGGAAATTATAATAGATAGAATTAATCCGATATATGCATATGAAAGCTGAATGTTTGGGGAATCCAGCAAGTATAGATACATTCATGTACTCTTATCCATCTTGCTGTAATACGCATTCAAATTTCGAAAAAGCATAAGTTGTTGAATACAAGAACACACGCAAGTTTTATGTAATATGCACACAACAATAAGTTCTGTTTTTATCTAAGTTAATTAACGTGAAATAATTGTAAGCCCTTAGTGTAAAGTGTGTAGGTATCATAACAACAATAAATTGTGTGTTCAGCATCGCACAATGTAATTGTAACATAATGAAATGCGTAATGATGCATAAGAATTATTTGCGTTTCGAGTATTTAATTATGTTAAATTCAATTATCAAATTTATTTACTTCAAATTCATTATGGAAAATATTTATGTAAATTTATTTTTGTGGCCACCAGTGGAGTGCATTATTTGTGTGCACGTTGCGAACATTATGCATTATTAATGCAACGTGATATTTCAGGTCGATATTGCATTGATTTTGTAAAATTTAACCACACGATACTTTGTTTTCATCACGTATATGTTTTGTTTCATCATCCGCCTTCATATAACGTTTATTATTTAATCGAATCATTGCATGTGTGAAACAAAAATAAAATAAACAGTTATTATCAACTACTGTCCATTACCATCATTGCAGTTATATATAAATTAATTATTGTAACGAAGTTCATTAATGATAATAGTTGTCGCGCAACTGAAAATTGAACTTTCAACTAAATATTAATCGATTTATACAAATTATTGTATTGAAATATTAAATTTCAAACAAATAAATGGAATAAACTTTTGTTTTTTTTTTTGTAAAAATATATATAAAAACTATGTTTAATTGTTAAATTCTTTATTATTTCACTACATATTGATGAAAATTTTATTTTTATAATAGTTTTTTTGGCCAGTGAACCAAAGACTGTTCTACTTAACGTACATGAAATATTGAAGGCATGCATATTTACTATTCAGGCGAGGTTTTCTTGGGGAAATGGCATCATTCGTATTCAAAATGATATCATTTATCTTGAAAAGATAGTTTTTACTTATCATTATAGGCATAAAATATACCACATTTATTTTGTTTTTAATATTTAAAAATAACTAGTTAACTTTTATTAATAATTTCTACATTAAGAATATGATGACAAATATCTTCAAATTTTTAACTCTAAATTTAGTAGAAAGTAAATCATTTATTTCTCGTGCCATTCGAACGGTTCCGGTGGATCGGCTTCCTTATCATCATCCGCTTTAGGACCGTGAGCTATATATTATATGCATTATTTTATTATAAACAGCAAATTAAATCAAATAAATGAAAATTGGATATACCTGCTACCATCTCCACGATCTCTTCTTGTTCAGGTTTAATGTTCCGAAACATAATGATGCCACCAATACTGACATCCTTGATTGGAATGTATTGAGCATCATCGACTAGCTCCAAAGACTTTAACTGTTGACGCATTACACGTGTAGGATTACTGATAAATTCGAAATCCGGCTCGGCTATCGGTGGTCTTTCAATCTTCTGCTTGGATTCAGTTTTGCTCTTCTTCTCCTCAATCTTCTCTTCCTGATCGATATAAATATAAAGTTAGTGGAGGCAGATAAGGTACAGATTTTTGCGACAAACCGAATCGTTCTTTATTTTATATTTATCACGTCGTCCTCGTCTGGCGGCAATGCTTAGAAGTGCTGAAGAGGTTTTCACCATTTCCTCTCTCTTCTTCTCCTCTGTCGGAGCAGGATACCCGTAGAATGAGGGCTTTGCGTTTGATTTAAATTGCATTTTTGGCATGTTAAGTGCCCCATTTAAACCAATTAAGCAAGTTGGTGTAAAAGCGAGCGAGAGGCAATGGGATAGTGGGAACCAATACCAATATTGTGTGAATATTAAAGTTCCGACGACGGCAACCATGTTGATATGCCCGGTGCGTGATTGCAGTGACATCGTCGTGTTCCTACCGCCAGCATTGATAATACCTAATTAATAAATCATTAATTGTTTGTTAACTTTTTAACTAACGTTTGTTACCTTGTGCTAGAATAGCACCGTACTTAGACATAACATCCTCATGTTTGTCTTTTATTATATCCGCGTATTGTTGCCGGAAAAACGTTACCTTCGGACAGGTCTGCTCGGTCTGCTGTATGCAGATCATCGCTGATGCTATTAAAGCTCCTTGCCTCACGAAATTAATTCTATCGGATCTTATAATGGGATCCAGAATGGCAATGGCTTCTCGTAATCCTGTTCCCGCACAGGCTATTCCAAGTGCCATCGCTGCTCCATACCGGACGTGAGGGTTATAACTTTCGGCTAAAAGCGAAACAACGCTCGGGCACTGGTCAGGAGATCTGCGGATGGAGAAAGAAACATTTAAACCAGCAACAGCAGATCGATACCGGCAGATATCCAGGACAACGTACAAATGAGATAGATTAAATATACACGGGCGAAGTATTCAAGACGTCTGCCACTCAAAAACTCTTTGCTGCAATAAACTGGACGCAATGTCAGTTTATTTGCAAACGTAGAGCTGTTTAACTTGTCAACTACATGCCATACATATATCCTTCCTCAAGGAAAAATAATATCTGTGTTCTAAGTGGAATGCATTCATCGCTGTAAACGTTACAAAGACATTTTACGCAAATTACATATTCATTGTTCCAACTGCACAGCGTACAATTGTAGCTCAACGTATTATATTATAACCGGTCATTTAAACAAAAGCATTTACCGGATTATGCATACAAAGCATAATCAATCTTCTTCATAATTAAGCAAACGCAAAAGTTGTTAACATTTCATACAAAATAAAAAAAATATATAGCTTGAAAGATTGGCGTGTTGAATTGTCGTAAAGATAGATTTGCTCAATCATTAACTGTTGTATCTTTCCACTTCCTCTAATCTATCTGGCGGACTTGAACGGAATATATAGCGGGTTAAGCCAGGAAAGTACTTTACCTTGCTACTCTCCTTGACAGATGGTCGAGAATCATTCATTAATTTACTTTCAGTTAGGAGTGGACAATTCACGGTTGTTTGGATCCCGCAGAAGCCATTATTTAACTATCGAATTCATATAAGCTTCGGAACAAACTGGTCCAATTTATAATTGATTGATCTACTGCTCCGTGATTCTGTAAAACTCTTGTTCGATGACAGACCAATTGATTGATTTAGTACAACTGACAATTAAGATTTTATAGTAAAAACTATGGATAATACATCTTCGTTAAATTATATTTGACAGAACGCCAACTACTGCAAGCGAAGTTTATACACGCTTATTAATTTCCAATCAATATTAATTTCTATTTAATTGTGATAATTTATTATTTACTTAATACAATACAAATAAATGTATGCCACGTAACCACTTTCAATTCAATACTAGACGAATTACATGTTAACTATTGTTAAAAAATGTGATTTTGTTAAAATAAAATATATCATATTTCGTATCAATACACTGTACCTATCAAGTGTTGTTTAATGAGTAGGTTTAGTATTTTACATCTGAAATAAATAAGATAACTGTCAACTTTTAATTAAATGTATAATATAATAAAAAAAGCAAGTTGCAATTCAATTGGAAAAACACGCAACGTCTATAAAAAAAATGGAAATATCGCATACCGATGTTTTATTATTTTTTTAATGTGTAGTGCATGAGGAAAACATAATTTCGAATATATTACCGTGATTGTGATAGACACGCTACGTATTATATATATATATTATATATATGACTTCTTGCAAATACGAAATGTCGAAATGCCATTACTGGAGGAGGTTCAGCGATCGCATTTCTTGAGGGTGACTAAACTTATAAGAAGCGGAAAGCAATGCACAGGTGAATAGATCTCCTACTGCTCTAAGAGCATTTACCCCATATTGATTCGATCTGGCATATTATTTAGGTGTCATGGAGTTTTCACCGAATTTTCCTCGCATTTCCATTTCCAATTTAACAAGTATTCCCTATCTTTGCGTTTCCATTTACTTCTATTCTATTCAAATTGAATGTGAATACAAAAACATGTTTTTATTTGTTTTCCTTTTAAGTCATAATTTTTCTCAATACATATTTAATTAAAAAAAATCTATATTGAAAATAGACATAAAATGTCACTTTCTCAATGATTCAGGTAATAATAAGGAATTCTTTCTTTTATTACATTTAAAAAGCTAACGGAATTATTAACATTTTCCTGAAAGTTTAGACAAGTTGTGACATTAAGCACATCAAATCAAACACTTATATTCATATCATTGATGTAATCTAGGAATAGAAATATATCAGAAATAATAAACACAAACTAATCCTTTGTTAGAAACATAATGAAAAATGTATAAAACTTAAAATAAATGGAATAATTGATAAGAAATATTTATTTCAAAAATAAAAAATCTATCTATTATTATTACTTGAATTAAACCTAACC